TATTATCCTTAATTAATTTTAACTTTTTAAATTACACATAGAACAATTATATTGCTTTAATAATTAATACTACATTTTATATTTTTCTTTATGGTTATAAATATAATAATGGCAACACTAAATATAGATTACTAATTAATATTTTAAAATTGTAATAATTATAAAAATAATAGCAAAATTAAATAAATAATTTTCCATATTCAATTATAATTAAAATTATAAAAATGTTTAAAGTTAAAAATATTGTAATGTAATTGGTGCAATTTTCATTTTGTTAATTGTGGGTAGGCTGTCTGTAACAACTATACATTCAAGACATGTAACACCTCAGTCTCTCCCGTGACCATGGATGCTGTAAAGCATTCGAAACGTCGGGAAACAAAAATCCAAATAAATCCGCGACAAAATCCGAAAAGATAGTTTTATTTAAAATGTCAAATATTCGCGTAAATCTAAGAAAGTATTATGTGAACCAGTACGGACTGGAAATCGCAAACCAAATACGCCGGTTAGAAGATCTGAAGACAAAGCGCGCAAGATTATTAACATCTTTAACATTCTTGAAGAGATGTCGGGATCATCGTCTCATTCCTACGTGTGTGAAAATATCATCTAAAAAGAACATACGGGGAAGCGCCAAGATCGTTAATAAGGCAAGTTTTAAGTTGTTACGGACGGTGATTCGTCAAACCCGCCGTGATCTACGCAGTAACGACCGGTACGTAGAACAAACGTCCCTTAATATAAAGACAGTATTGACACCAAGTGATTTCAATGATTGCATTGAAACTTTAAATAAGCGCGAAACATCTAAATTTAACCAATGCAAAAACAAACATATATTAAAATACCAAAAATTAGTCGAGAAATATAACATCAAAAAGAAAACCAAAAACAATAACGGAACGCGCCCGTCTACCACAGTTTCAAATTCGTGCGTACGTCAAGCAGTTGTCAATCTGTCAAAACAAACATTGGACGAATCTACTATTCAAGTACTAAGTAAAGGCTTAAATTTTGCTGTTGCGCCGACACGCATCCCTTATGAGAACATTATTTGTGCGGTTGAAGATGCCCTGGCCAAAAATACTATGAAATCTGAGGATATGGAGGCCATACGTCAAGATGTTTCATCTTTGTTACGTCGTAGTTCAAGGCCCAAACCTAATCTCAACAAACAACAGTATTTAGCGTTGAAGAACTTACGCAACAGGTCAGACATTATCATACTACACGCAGACAAGGGAAATGCCACCGTCGTGATGGATACATCAGATTACAATGAGAAAATTAAACAACTTTTGTCGGATGAAAGTACATATAAAAAGGTCAAAACAGACCCAACCACCACTGTGTTAAATAATACTAAAAAGCTGATTAAGAAACACTCCGATGCATTGAATCTTGATGTCAAAAATCTCGTTCCATCTTGTGCAAAGCCGCCTAAACTGTATGGACTTCCAAAGATACACAAACCTAACGCTCCGCTACGTCCAATTGTGAGTCAAATCGACACACCGACTTATAAATTGGCCCAACTAGTAGCGAAAGTACTCTCAACACTCAGAGGACAAACATCAGCGTTCACAAGGGACTCGTACCATTTTGTCAATGAGATAAAACACCTACAACTCATGGACAATGAAACTATGGTCAGTTTTGATGTTTTGAGTTAGACTCCAATTCCATTGTAAATTGTATTTTAGGGTTTATGGAGTTAAGATGTTCTAAGAATACAGATATTTTATCAGATGGTAATATTGTGAAAGTGTCATCTACATACCGCTTGTAGAAACGAGGGGTCACAGGTGATGTGTTTAGGGCGGTCTCCTCGAAGGCCTCCATGAAGATGTCAGCTACAACGGGAGAGACCGGCGAACCCATGGCCACTCCATCCACTTGCTTGTAGAATTCATCATTCCACAATAGATAGCCAGATGTAAGGCAGTGTTTCAAAAGTTCAGTGTATTCTTCTTGCATACTATTATCCCGTAGCTTTCTTAATACTATTTTGACACAGTCCTCTACTGGTAGGCTGGTGAATAGAGACTGTACATCAAAACTGACCATAGTTTCATTGTCCATGAGTTGTAGGTGTTTTATCTCATTGACAAAATGGTACGAGTCCCTTGTGAACGCTGATGTTTGTCCTCTGAGTGTTGAGAGTACTTTCGCTACTAGTTGGGCCAATTTATAAGTCGGTGTGTCGATTTGACTCACAATTGGACGTAGCAGAGCGTTAGGTTTGTGTATCTTTGGAAGTCCATACAGTTTAGGCGGCTTTGCACAAGATGGAACAAGATTTTTGACATCAAGATTCAATGCATCGGAGTGTTTCTTAATCAGCTTTTTAGTATTATTTAACACAGTGGTGGTTGGGTCTGTTTTGACCTTTTTATATGTACTTTCATCCGACAAAAGTTGTTTAATTTTCTCATTGTAATCTGATGTATCCATCACGACGGTGGCATTTCCCTTGTCTGCGCGTAGTATGATAATGTCTGACCTGTTGCGTAAGTTCTTCAACGCTAAATACTGTTGTTTGTTGAGATTAGGTTTGGGCCTTGAACTACGACGTAACAAAGATGAAACATCTTGACGTATGGCCTCCATATCCTCAGATTTCATAGTATTTTTGGCCAGGGCATCTTCAACCGCACAAATAATGTTCTCATAAGGGATGCGTGTCGGCGCAACAGCAAAATTTAAGCCTTTACTTAGTACTTGAATAGTAGATTCGTCCAATGTTTGTTTTGACAGATTGACAACTGCTTGACGTACGCACGAATTTGAAACTGTGGTAGACGGGCGCGTTCCGTTATTGTTTTTGGTTTTCTTTTTGATGTTATATTTCTCGACTAATTTTTGGTATTTTAATATATGTTTGTTTTTGCATTGGTTAAATTTAGATGTTTCGCGCTTATTTAAAGTTTCAATGCAATCATTGAAATCACTTGGTGTCAATACTGTCTTTATATTAAGGGACGTTTGTTCTACGTACCGGTCGTTACTGCGTAGATCACGGCGGGTTTGACGAATCACCGTCCGTAACAACTTAAAACTTGCCTTATTAACGATCTTGGCGCTTCCCCGTATGTTCTTTTTAGATGATATTTTCACACACGTAGGAATGAGACGAGGCCAGAAGGTGGATAGGTGGAACTCTTCAACGGCTAATAGTAGATACTTTGAGCTTGGGCTTATTTTGTTTGATTTGACAAGTCTAACACGTTAGAATCCTTACTATGCTACTACTGTCTACACTAAAAAGGGAAAAATAAAAACTTTTTAACAAAAAAATAAAAACCGACTTCAAACAAAAGCACTAAAAAGTAAAATATAACTGATTGGTAGTTTTCATTTACTATACATACCTAATCAAATATTTTCGAAGTCGGTGTGCTTTGCTTTGTATGGGCTGGCACCGATTTCGAAAATATTTGATTAGGTATGTATTTAATAGGTAGGCTCTAATTACTTAGCCAAAGCACACCGACTTCGAAAATATTTGATTAGGTATGTATAGTAAATGAAAACTACCAATCAGTTATATTTTACTTTTTAGTGCTTTTGTTTGAAGTCGGTTTTTATTTTTTTGTTAAAAAGTTTTTTACATTAGAAATAGTACAGTTTCATACAATCTTTCATCCCCTATTTTACCCCTTTAGGGGATTAATTTCGAAAAATTCTATCTTTTCGGATGCGTACATTATACCTATAAGGATACGTCGTCCAAATTTCACGTTTCTACAACCAACTGCTTAGGCTATACGTTAATCCATCAGTCAGTCTATATATATTAGAAAGTTTATAGGGTATATAACATAATAATGTTTCGTCTTCAGCAGTTATTGTGTACAATATATGTATTTTACAATTTAAAATTGGTAAAAAGATAGTTTGAGACCTTGGGATGGACATAGGATTTTTATGTCGGAAATCATCTCTTAAGGTGGTGAAAATGGGGATGAAAGTATGGGGATCAAGCTAGGGATGAACCCGAGTAAAGTGAGGGTGAGTCGCTAGTTATTAATAAAAATACAGTAGTTTGAAAACAAACCTTTACTCAAATAGTTGAATATTAAACGACAAACTGGTTTATTGGAGCCTTGTTGAAAACAGAAGGGTGAATTCAGTAGTTGAAAATCAAAAGGCGTATTTCCCTAAATAGTTTTGTTGAAAATTTATATTTCACTTTACATAACAATAATCGAATTTAAATTTGTTTAGTGTTAAGCAAACGGCTGGATTATTTGTACGAAACTTCTTCGAGCAAAAATTATCTTAACAAAGGGCGAATTGATGTAAAAACTTTTTGATTCTCTGCCTTAATTTGAATAAACTATATTAAATGAAATAACCAAACTCTTGAAGTATAAACTGTTTGACTTTCTCTTACTTTATTCAATAAAGGATTATATTAGTATAATATCTAATGTTGATCTTGACCAAAACCTATTTTTTGTTAAATTTACCGTTAGGTATATCTACTATATCTATAAATAGCCATATATTACGCCAGATCAAAGCCTATCTGTGTACTAAATTTCACCTAAATCCAGCAGTTTCAGCGTAAATGAAGTAACAAACATACAAACATTCGCATTTAAAAAGTAGTCCGACTAGTGACTTACCCTCGCTTCGCTCGCGTTCGTCCCGATGTACTTAACAGTAGCGTTTGTGTTGCTCCAGATCAAAGTATACTAAATTTCATTTAAAGCCATCTAGCAATTTTAGCATGAAGAAATTACAAACATACGCACCCACACATATCGTTACTTAGGACCAAAAAATTGAACGAACAAACAGAATACTATAGAGTTTAATAGGAGAAAACAAAGTTTAATTACATAATAGACATTAGACATTCCGATATTTTTGTTGTCGCACAAAGCAAACGATATTTCGGGCGAAAGGTTTCTAAAATAATTGGTTTACATTTATTTATCACATATCAACGAGTACGTATCTTCATATAAACTGCAGACCTTTAAGAAGATATGGACGGTACAACTTTTTGGTTAGTTACAACTTATTTCCTTTGTGGTTTTTATTTTACTGTAATTTGTGATAGGAAAATAAGCATTCAGTATTTACCTATCCAAAGCGTATTTTTCTTCCAAATTAGACATAGGATGCCCCAAAAATTCACGCAAGATTTGAATTTGCCGCCATCTAAGCGGTAAGTGTTGGTAACTAAAAAAAAGGATGGTATGATAGATGAGAGTATAGGGTTAGTAAAATTGGAGAACTCCACAAAATAACAACGAGTTTTCATCCTTGAACAATATTTCTAAAATAATTGAAGTTTGGCTGTTATAGTTTCGTATAATATGGTAGAAATTGATTTAACTTCGTCGTCTATTCTCTCGTTTCAGTGATCAGAATTTGGCCCCCTAGATCATTTATGATTTAACACAATTGGATTTCTTTCTATCGGATTTTTTGAATTTAATTTCTTTGTTAACAAGCCCATATCCACCCGTATATTGAAAGAGAGGATTCAACGCCGCACCAAAGAAATTCGGCAATTTATGCAAAATGACAAAATTATTGTCGAAATCAGAGAAAATTTCGACAAAAGAGTGCGTATATCCCAGCAATTCTGAGGAGGCCATTTGCGGGATGTGTTATTCCATACATAACCCTAGTCTGTCTACTATGTATATGTTTTAATTAAAAAAATCTGTAAAATAAACTGTAATTTAGAATTAATTTATTATATTGTTTATTACTTATTATACTGTTTGTATGAATGTATGTATGTATGTATTTATGTTTTTATGTATGTATCTGTGTATATACGTATGTATTTATGCAAGTACACCACCTACCATTTTATATACTGATTCCTCTACCCTAAGGTTGACTGGAAGAGCTCGCTTCTAGCGATAAGGCCGCCTGCTATACATATTTTTTTGTTATATATTTCACTTCTTTATTTATTTCTTGTGTGGTGTGCACAAAGTGTTCATTATTATTATTATTATTAACTTAAATTTGGGACAACTTTATACAAAAAATGTACAAATAATAACAGATAAATAAATTTTTAACAGATAATCGGCCGGCACCTTCGTGAGCAACGTATCAAGAATAAGAATAGTGCAGTGTCTCTACTCGACTGCGCATTACGAGGAGTTACATCTCTTCCTTCTGCATCAGTGGCTGAGTTAGCTGGTGTAGGTTTACACGGCTTGGTCATATCCTCAGGAGACATTAAGAGGGTACAGCAAGGAGCCTTTAGTAGTATATCTTCGACCTTGCTAGCGTTAGGTAAGTAAAGAATATTTTACAGATACTGCTATTAATGTCCTATACCTATAAGACAAAGTGATTGTTTTCAGTTCTATGTATAAAAAACGATTCCATCAAATTGAGAACCTCCTCTCGAAGAAAGAGAAGAAGAGAAGTCGGTTAAAAATACTAATTACAAACGAGAATCAAATTTGCGACTATTTAGAAGAAATTCCAATTTTGGTGGTCCATTTTAAGACTACAAACATATCGACGTGTTTTTGCAAACATCTTGCTTATGGTTTAATTTAGATCCAATAAAGCTATTTTAGTATCATAATACATAGTTAAAAAACAATTTCCATTATGTGTTTCAGAAAATAATATATTTTCAGGTTTACCAAACAATCAACTCCCATCTGTGCCCACAGAAGCTTTGGTCTACCTCACCTTTTTAGACCGACTAGACCTCTCTAACAACAAAATACATACTCTAGACCCGAATTCGTTTAAGGTAAACATCATGAACAGTTCTAACTTTAACGAATCCAAACCAAATTATTATTTATACACGGGAAAATTATATTATACTTATTACTGCTATTAAATTTTGAAGCAGGAATTTACTTTTTAAATTCCACTACGAATCATATGTAGTGATGTTCACTAATTAGAAGGCTTTTGTTTTACTTTAGTTTCATTCTAATGATGATTTTTAAGTCATATTTATTAAAGTACAGTAATATACATTTTATAAATAAACTAGTCAAAAGCACTTATTTTGGCCATTATTATATGCATAATATCATGAATAATTCTTTTTATGGTTCCATAGATTAAAGCAAAAATAGAACTCTTACGGCCTATATATATAATATATATATATATATATATATATATATATATAATTTGAAAAATAAATGATTAAATAAAAAGGGGTGGTTTTTCATCCGAGATTTGTGTACATAAGCGTAATAATTTTATAGTATTTTTTAAAAGTACCATAATACACATTTAATTTTACGGTCAGATTCATATATTCGCTGGAGTTTATATAGCCTCGGTAGCGCAGTAGGCAGCGCGTAAGTCTCATAATCTTAAGGTCGTGAGTTCGATCCTCACCCGGGGCATTAATTTTGTTCTATTACTTTGTAATATTAAAATGTTCTAATTTATAATTTTTTAGTGCTCAATCAAATCTTTATCTTTATATAATATATTATTACCCTAAAGTTTAATGCCAAATTGCTCTATAAAAATATGTTCCGAGAAACAGATTATTTTTATAATACCAACCAGGCTAAATATAGTATATTGGTTAAACTAAGCTCTAAACATTACGTTGGGAATTTGAATCCCAATCGGAAAAATCGGTTCAAACGCGATAGTTTGTATGTTTGTATGTTTGTTCCAACTTCACGCTTAAATGGTTGGACAGATTTTGATGAAATGATAGGAACGTAGCAAGGCGAAGGGTAAGATGTTAATCAATATTTACCTTATAAGTATTTATTTATTCCACACAGGGTATACAAAATCTTACTTATTTGGACATAAGTGATAACCAGTTGACGAGTATATCGGTTGGCGCCTTTGAGCCTCTGTCAAAGCTAACTGTGCTTAGGCTTAGAGGCAATTTATTGAAAGTGTCTGCGTTGACTGCACTAAAGGTATGTCTTTATATAAAATCATTTTATTATATAATATTTAGTGCCTATAATTTTAAAACTAATAATAAGAATAAATGATAATGTAACTGAATTATGATAATATATTAAATGATATGAGTTAAAACGCACTGTATTACATAAGTCTAGTTGGTACGTTTTACTATATTAAAGGTTACGCGTTTGATTCCTGTAAGACGTAAACGTTTATATTCACCTAAGTAGATATTGATTTCGGTCTAGTAGAAAGAAGAGCTAAGTGTTAGTAACAGCCTAACAGGAAACTCAGATGAAAGTTTCGTATTTCATTATATACCTAACAATGAGACAATTATTCTGAATAAATATTATTAAAATAGTATTTATTTAAGCAAAATATATTCTGTTAGACTAAATTTATTAAAATAATATGTAGTTACTTTTTAATGGCTGGGAATTGGTGAAATTATAATAGCCATGGTCTTATATCTGAAATTTAACCTACTATATGCCTACATCTATATCTATCTTCATATAATAAAATTCTGAGTCAAATCTATACATGAAATATTTTTTGAAAATCTTATTGAAATAGTCATTATTATAGATACAAAGTCCAAATCTATAGTTTTTAGATTTTTTGTCTGTCTGTCTGGGAATGCATTACTAGAAAACCACTGGACAGATTTTGATGAAATATGGTATGATCATAGCTAGTAATCCGGGTCACCATAAAGGATATTTTTACTGCGGGAAAATATCTCACTTCTGAGAAATCTATACTAACCGTTAAAACGTACTTAGGGAAGAACCTGAGCGGAGCGAGGGTGAGTCTCTAGGTAAATATATAATAGTAACATATCAAAAAATATATATTTCTCTACGTACAATGAAAGTGCAATCAATTAAGACTCCACGAATTGTTAATTTGTTTTCGAGGCGTGTTAATTAATCCCTTTATTTGTCAGTTGATGGAGATAAATATTTACTTTATCGAATTTATTTCAATTCGCGTCGTTGATTTTATTGAATTCGAATATTAAGATAAAAAATGTTTACTTTTAAATTAAGATTGTTATCAGATACAATTTGTAACCATAGAAAAAAGAGGTTTGTTGCATATATTTAATAGATCAACACAATTAACAAAAACAGAGATGTGCTTTAACCGAAAATTAACAACGTGCTTACAATTTAACGTACATGTACATAATTTAACTAAAAACACCATCCTATCCATAATTTAGCATTATTTAATTACCTCCTTAAATTTTCTATAACTATACAAAGACTATATAGAACTAGAAAAAGTTATAGTTAGAGAAAGATAAAGTCTTTGATGTTTCTTAATTTTTATTCTTATTCTATATAGTATTATCTGAAAATATTAAAGTGCAACGCTCAATTTAATTAAATATCACTTTAATCGATTTAGTTCATTAAATCGATTAAATTGAGCTTTGCACGTCAAACGTTTATATCATATTTTGCATACTGAGTTACATTTGTATAGACTATAGAGCTGTTCCATAAGCGATGCACAAGATTCTCAGATATAATACTAAGTAATCAAAATAGCGTCTTCAGCCGGTCAAAGCTAATCTTACCGCATGTGGAACCCCTGAATAATGGATGAGCTTTGTGTCTGAATATAGGCTAGATACTGGAAGTCAGGTGTTAAACCAGTGTCTGTGCCTGCCCTAATGTTAAAGAATTAGTTGGTTATTTTACATAATATAATATATTTTTTGTATTATTGCGTCTAAAATTTGGTTAATTCTGTGATTTTTCTGTTTTGGTATTGTACATTGTAATAGATATTAAAAATGATCACTTATAAAATTTATCGCAATGTGAAAAAAATAAGAGAACTTAATATAAATGACCGAATTGATACTTCTGACTGTATACATTTCTATGGAACTATTAATCAAAAACTAAAAATTATCTAAAATTCTCTTTCTGTTTTACGTAAATTCTCTTAATCTTAGTTTTTAACACTTTGGGGCCTCTCATTCTTTCTTTCACTCGTTAGTCAAAAAAACTCCTATGACTAATTTTCTTAGTTTTAATTATTTTATTCAATTTTTATAAAAGTATCCAATTTATATTAAATAAATATTCTTTAATAATTTAATAATAAATATTATTTATAGGCAGCACATGTATTGAAAGAACTGGATGTTTCAAGCAATGCACTAGAAGGTCCCGTTGGTCCGAATACAGTACCAACACTTAGCTTTTTGGAGACACTTCATTTGTCTGACAACACGTTTGCAAGTATAAGACGTGGAGCATTATCAGGTATTTCTTTTATTTTGTTTTTATAGTCATATAATTGGCCTAACTTGGACTGAACTTTTATTACTTTTTATCCGACTGCGGCGAAGCCCAAAGGAGGGTTATGTGTTTAACCTATATATGTATAAGGATACATCTTGCAGTTAGGATGTAAGATGTATGTATGTCTCCAATTTGTTTTTAATACGCAGTCGGGTTTTTAATTTTATTTTTTTTTTAATTTCTCCTTTTACTACAAATAAAATTTAATTTCTGAACTTTCCATAACTTTCTATAACTTTATTTCATAAAATATATTATCTATTTATACTATGTGATGGAAATCGGTTACAAAACCGTAAAATAAAATTAAATAACCATTCAAAGTAAGGTTTCAAATTATAGTTTTAATATAAATCTTTGAGTGTAATACAAAGCTATCTTGTTTCAGGTCTTACAAACTTAACTCATTTAAATCTGCACAACAATCAGATAGACGTATTAGAAGACTACGCTTTCAAACACCTGTCTAATCTGTCGAATTTGGATCTCTCTCACAATGAAATTGTAGCTGTTTCAGGTGAATATGTACAAGAGCTTTAGTTATAAAAAATATAATATACACCACCAAGGGATATGGGTCATTAAAGATTGATTAGTTGACTAAAGATATTATTTTTATCTTAAAATTGATGTGGAGATGTGCTAAATTTGATTAGATCCGATGCGGGATAACGTCCATTGTTAAAAGTTCTTTGTCGAACGAACTCACTGACGTTTCAATTTCCGTTACAAAAAGGTAGAAAACTGGGAATAAAGGAAAAGATTCACAGTCAGTATAAGAAGTTATTTGACATGATTTTTATGTTCTTGCTATTATATGTTATTATTAGCCTTGTTTTTTATATAGGTATCTTTAGTGTGATAGATTGTTACACGATTAAATTTGTATATACAACATTTTCCAAAAACGTCATTGGTAGTATGTAATATGTATATACATATATACTCACAAACATACATATGTGTATGTCGTGGCCAGATCGTTTAAACGTCATCGCTTGATGGTATGTCAATCCGTGTTTAGCCATCCACTCCATGATATAAAAGTTTTAATAAAAAAAAATGGATTCTTCTGATACTTAATGCTTGAAACCTATAAATTTCGAGTCAGATTTGTCACCAAATTTAAAATTAACATAAATCACTTAAGATAATCGAAAAGGTTACGGTGGGAGCTACGCTACGCTTCGTCTTCTAGATCTGAGTCAAATCTATCATATATTACATGAAAATAATTATTAGATTCTATCATTTCTTGTAAAATAAAAATAAAAATATGTTTAAAAGTTACTGGCATTCGTTTAATCATTACTCATGTTGGTCAACAGATACATTGACGACACTTTATATACATATATTTGCATTTAAATTTTTTTTACTATACGAGTATGTGATTGCAGACAATAAACTAAATAGACTAAATTTTTGCAATTATAATACGAGTTGCTTAAGAGCATTTTTGTATTTTTTTTCAATTACGTAAAAAAATGAAAATATAAGTAAACAGAAAAATAATCTTTCTGCCCACAGGTGCATCATTAGCTCAACTTATAAATTTAGTACGTTTGGATTTATCACACAACTTTCTCCGTTCTCTCTCCGCTGAGCCTCTGAAGGCACTTCATCATCTCTCCGAACTTCTCCTTCATGATAACGACATATCGATGATCGAAGACGGCGCCCTCCTACAACACAAAGACTTGCGGCAGTTTACTATTGAAGGTATGGTAACATGGTATGAGTATGAAGCGATATTTGAGATTTATTACATATTGATGTCATAAATATCGAATAAAAATTTTTGTTGGATATATGGGTTTTTAAAAATTTTACTAGCAAAGACTATGTATACTGCTCTTTCAAAAAGGATTGCTAAATTAAATCATACAAGTAGTAGACGACACGTTTGGCTTAGTTTGTAGTCACCCTACTTGCTGACCCAGCTGTCGCGGGTTCGATTTCCGCTGGGTATATTAATTTGTGTGATGAACACGAATGTTTGTACTCCAGTCATGGGTGTTTATATTTATAATATGTATGTATTTAAAAGTTATATATGTGTAGTGTATGAACTATCTGGTATCCATAACATAAGCCTCGTAGCTTACCGTGGAATAAGATGGTGCTGTGTGATAATATTCCAATATATTTTTATTTAATTATGTATATAAACGAAATTTAGAAGCAGTAAAATAACTTATAACTAAATATTTATAATCTAAGTATTTGCAGCTGACTAAATAGCTTTTATTTGATTATTATAATCCCTCCACGACGCGGACACGCCGGCGTTACAGTTAACAATAGATTTCTTAGAAATTTAATTAATTTCTTAGAAATTTACCTGGAGGTGTTAAGTAGTTGCAGAACAAAAATTTTATGACTATTTAGTAGTAAAACATTTTAGGTAGGTATATGAACTAATTTAGGAAATGTTTTTTTTTTAAAATAAAAAATATATTTAGTTAGAAGTTAACATGTACATATTTGAGTTAGAACAATTGCGTACAAAATTCTATATCAAAGGATCGTGTGTTCATATTTAGGTATTGTTAGCGTTCAGACGTTTTGTGAAGTGAAGTCACCTCTTTGTTCGACTGTCGAAACATCACCCAACGCGACGTGTTGTTAAAAAAACGTTATATTGTGGATGATTATATTGTTCATGGTTATTTATTTATGAGACTTTTATGGGAAAATAATTTTAAGATACTTTTCCCTTTAAGTAAAATATGGGAATTTTGACGAAATAATTTATGGTTGTTGAAGAATGCTTGGGGAAGACTTTGAATCCGTTTTAAGATGCCGTTAATTAAATTTGGAAACAATTAATTGAAATATTGCCACCTATTTACCTGAAATGCTTGAAATTCTTTCGTTATTTTTATAAAAGGAAGGAATTAAAATATTATAATTTAAAAGATTTGACGACACGTTTGGCTCAGTTTGTAGTGTTTGTACTTGCTGTGCCAGCGGTCGCGGGTTCGAGTCCCGCTGGGGGCATTCATTTGTTGATTGTTGATGAGCACGAATGTTTGTACTTCAGTCATGGGTATTTATATTTATAATATGTATTTATATAAAACTTTATATGTGTAGTGTTATCGACTATCTGGTATCCAGAACACAAGCCTCGTTGCTTATCATGGAACTTGATGGTGCTGTGTTTTAATGTCTCAACATATTTATTTATTAAAGGATCTATACCATTCATTTGCAGAAAATAAAAATATTCTATAAATAAGTTCATATAAAGTCAGCTCAAAAAGTTAAAATATAAACATGATTCCCATACCAAATATTTTACCCAATAAATTGAAAATATTGTGATTATAATAGCCGAATGATAGACACAATTGGTTGAATTTTAACAATAGAGGATTCGAGTAATATAAAACAGTTAAATTAAATAATACAGTATGACAGATGCTTTATTATTATGAGTTATGCGGAAGGTTATTGGATCCCGATTTACGGTAACTCTAGAAACATCGAATATATGATTATATATAATATGGTTTTATGTGGATAATATATTTTTATAATGTACAACAGCTATGCCATGAATTTAAAACTTGACTATGGGACTTACTCGTGCAACGATGACAATGTATCCTACCTGGGTTATTAAACCACTTTCTAATCTATACTTCTTAGATACTTATATTATAAAGAGGTAAAGTTTGTGAGCTTATAAGGGGGTAATCTATGAATCTAATGAACCGATTTAGATTAAATTAGGTAAGAAGATAGTTTTAGACCCTGGGAAGGACATAGAATATTTTTATCCCGGAAATCATTCCTTGACGGGTGAAAATGGGGATGAAAGTTTTTATGGGGAATCAACCTAAGGACGAACCCGAGCGAAGCGAGGGCGAGTCGCTAGTAATAAAGAAAACGATAGCATAGCGTAACGTTAGCATATTTTTATAAATTAATTTTATTGGCGGCAGAAACATCGACAATTTTAAAAAAAGCTACGAGTACTACTTGAGAATTAAAAACATGAAAATGCTATAAAATAAATGTATTTTTTTTTAAATCTCCAACATGAAATTCATCCCGCAAGAAAATGATCGTAAACAACAAATAAGTTAAAAAAAATGATATTATAATTTTATATCGAAAACAGCACCATTCCGTAGAACATAAAATTGTACACGCATTACAAAAGCTTGAAACAAAAAACTTCCTCAATAATCACAGCTTTCACAAAAGAAATAAAAGTAACAAAGAACAATTGTTTGATTGTCGTTAATTTTAATTCCATCCCATTAATACTCCTGAACTCATAAAGATAAATTCGTTCTCTTTCGCAGATAATCCACTTAATTGCGATTGCTTAATGGCGGGCTTTGCGAGGTGGTTGCGGGAGGCAAAAAATCTGCCTCAGTCAGATAAATCAGCGGCTGTTTGTGCAACACCACCACATTTAGAGGGAGCATTGATTTCTCGATTATCGAAAAATAAGCTTTGTGATGATGAACATATTGACACGAATGCGAAAATAAATGAAGATGTTATTTATGATTATAATAAAGTGATTGAAAACACAATAGACGATAAAGATGATGTGTACAGTGACAAACAAGACGGTTTGGATGATGATATGTATGATGATGAACTGGAGGTTCCGGCGGAAGAAGATTTACCGATTTCCAAGGCTAAGGTGACAGACCTCTTTGATTTATACTTATATTTACAAGTTACAACTCTCTTTCAGTTCCTTTAAATTCCTGTGTATTGCTTCAGATCATAGTTTATCTGTATATAAAGTTTCATTGAAATTAGTCCGGCCATTTCAGCGTGAAGCACTAAAATACACAAAACCTTTCGTACCTAAAATAGTGATCCAATTGTAAATGTGTGATATATAATATATACTATACATATAATAAAAGTGTAAGTGATTGCTGTCTGTACATGGAAAATATTTGAGAAAAACTATTACTGGCGGTCTTTATTAACGGAATGGAAATCAAAACGATGATTTTTAGAGTTTTTGTCTGTTTGTCTGTGCGTTTGTGCACGGTAATCTCAGAAACGGTTTAACCGATTTGGGTGCAGTTCTCACTAATGTATTGTGGCAAGTTTCACTGAACATTTAGTGTTTGTTTTATTTCAATGGTTTCATAAATAAAAAAAGTTCAATTTAAAGATGCGATGCGAGGGTGAGTCGCTAGTATATATTATATCTTTGTTTATATGTTGATTCTATCAGTAACAGATCATAAGATGGGTCTGATTTTTTGTATAGAAATTCTTAATTGGAGTGACAATTTATTCCATACTTATATATGGAAAAAAGTGGTGCCCTTGGAATATTTTAATTCTTTTTCATAAAAAAAATATTTTTAATAAACCAATTTATAGACAATTCTTTTTATTTAAAACTATACACATAATACCTATCATAAATATTCATGTTATTAAGCACATATTCGTTTATAGCATTGGTTTTTCAGAATTCTTTATTTACGTTAAATTTTATTACATTTTATTTATTTATTCGCTGAAAATTTTACGTATTCAATAAAAATATCAAAAGTTTTTCTTGTCCGTTCGCGTGTTAATATCGAATGCCACGTTTTAATATTATGATGAAGCATCACCTAGCCAATGAAGGAGGGCACTTTGTGTCTGAGAAAATTCCTTCAAGAGAATAGATCGGACTTTAATAAAAGTTGGAATTTCCATCGTTTCTCTTTCATTAAAGCAATATGAAAGCGTCCTTAGATTTTATGTTTTAGAAAATTTACGTGATTTATTTATTTTCATAATATATGACAAATTAAATTATTTTATCTTATACCAAACTTATTTTCATAATAAATAAAAATAAACGATGTTTATAAAAAACGTAAGGAAAGTAAGCAAAGATTTTGTACAGAAAAAAAGTTGTACGTGATTTTGCGCTACAGCTAATAATAATCGTTGGATCCCTATATATAGTCAAGCAAAACTTTTTATTTAGTTCTATGTATTATTAAATTGTAGTTTATATAAGGCTCTCAGAGTAAAAAAGACCTAAATCACACCTAAAATGATTTAAGATAATTGTATTTTAACATTTCAATGATTTATTTATTATGATTTATTTCCCATATTTAAAAGAGTCTCAAAGTGTTATGAGTTTTGTAATTTTAATTCTATTTACTTCATAATATACTAAACGTACTACTAAATAGTAAAATAATGACTTAAACACCTTGTTGTATCGCCTCTACTGGTGACAGGAGAGCTGGCTCGTTTGTCGCCCAAAGAATCGGCATTGCCATTAGGCGGAAGAATGCGGCTAGCATTCTTGCCACTATTCCACGCGGACATGACTTGTACAGTAATAATTACGTGTAATTCTTTTTATATTTAATAAATTATGTGTAATTTTTTTAATTGTAAATAAATGTTATTAAATTGATAAAAAAATAAATAAATTTTGAATGTTTTCAATATATTATTTTTATATATCTTTAATATTACAGGTTCGTCTTTTAGATGCTTGGTTTGATGACGAAGAAGTTCACTTATCTTGGGCATTAGAACCTTCATCCTCTCATCGCTACAGATGTACGGGAGTGACTGCGTCTAAAAGCGGGGGTCTTCCGAAGCACATTGCTTGTCACAGAGCTGCCCCCGCAAATATTGTGTTGAGAGGATTGAAAATAGATCCCGTGGAAAAATATACGTGAGTTAATTTTGTTAATTTTTGAAGTGAAAACTTCTTTAGACAGGTTTGCATGGGGAGTAAATTTATGTAAGTCGTCATCGAGATGGTCACGTGAAGTTATAACGCTAACACTCAGAGTGCCGGTAGATGTCAAAACCAGATAAATGTAAACAGTTTTAATTTAGAAATTTTAATTTAAAATTGAATAATTGATTTGAATATTCGTGACTGCTTAATATATATATATATATATGTATATATAAATTATATTGATGCTTTTATTAATAAACATTTGATATAAATTAACGGCGAAAGGATCACGTCTACATTTTCTTGCTCGCGACCTGGTCAAATCGAAAAACTTCAAGTACTGCTGGACTGCCTATGGGAAAGTTTACGTAAGAAAAGATGATAACTCTCCTATTATATTAGTTAAAAGTGAAGCTCAAACTCATCAATTGCTACTGAATGCATGACTATATTATGTTATGTTAAGTTTAAAACAAATGTTGATATCTATTTCCTTTCTTTTTATTGCCGATTTGATTTTTCTCCGTGTTCTAAATTTCTTTATCATATTACTTGAATTGATAAGCACTAATACTAACTTTTTTAAACTATTACGTAATCAAATTATATACAAATACACTAATACTACACTATACATTAAACATGTAAGCAAACTTATATACATTTCTATAACTCTACAAACAAACACACTATGTAAACAATTTATATACAAACATAAAAACATTATACTCAATAGTTTTATGCACAAACCTTTACACGTTGCGTCTGACACTAGTTCCATACTATATTATAATTCTAAGATTGCAGTGGCACGTGACTTAATGCGTATCTTTTTTGTAACCTTAACACCCGTAATAATTTTACATGGTTATTTTAACTATTTCCCTAATGGATAATTCTATTAGTACGCTTAATGAAATAGACAATACAATGATTGCCCATACACTACGTTGCGATACTGATGTACTTAGAAATAATATTCGCATTAAGCAACAGGATATCGTAATAGCAACACAAAATATCAGAAGCGTATACAGTAATTTTGATGATCTTATACTTACAATGGCAAGCTTAAAAATAAGCCTGGATATTTTGGTTCTAACGGAGTGTAGACTAAGACCTAACCTACCATTACCATGCCTCAGTAACTATAACTCTTTTGCTACTACCCATCAGATAAATCAAAACGATGGTGTGGCTATATATGTTAAAAATAACATCACTGCTAATGTTAAGAAATTGAAATTGGTCCACGCATCTTGCTTACAAGTAGAAACTCTTAATACGACTATCTTGTGTATATACCGATCACCCTCTAATATTAATGCTGCGAATTTCATTGATTCTCTTAACTCACATCTATGCAGTATAAAGGCACATAAGAATATAGTAATAACAGGAGATTTGAATATAAACTTAATTTCAAAACAGTCTGAGGGTACTTATGAACGCAACAACAGAATAAATTACCTTAATATGTTGTGTTCACATGGTTTATTATCTGGACACTTTATCCCTACAAGAGAAAATAGTTGTCTTGACCATTTTATGCTTAAGATCGAGAAGGATAAAGTTGCTGCGCAAATCGCGGTTCTTAATACAACTATTACCGATCATAACATGGTATTGTTATGTTTATCTAGGCATAAAATACATCAAATCAAATGTACAAAAAGTAAATTAATAACAGATTATAATAAAGCGCTTCTTTCTTTAGCTGAGAGAAATCTGCGAGAACTACTTCTTTGTGACAATCCAAACTTAGTAATAGAAAGATTAACTGATAGTATACGCAAATCACTCCAAGAAAATACAACTATAAGAAATATTCCTAAAAACAGACGCATAATCAAACCCTGGATTACTCCTGGGATCCTACGCTGCATTAGAAATAGAAATAATATGCAAAGAAAATTAAAAAGTGATCCATTTAATGAAATTTTAAAAATTAGTTACAAAAGGTACAGAAATTATTGTAATAATTTAATAAAAAAGCTTAAACGTAACTATGACAGACAACAGCTGGACGCATCTATAAAAAATTCTAAGAAACTCTGGTATAATGTTAAAAATATAACACATTTAAATAAAATAAAAACTGACAATTCTCCTTTATTATACATAAGACCATCACCTGTAGAATCATTAAATCATGTGAACACATTTTTCTCTAATGTAGGTAAAGACCTAGCAGAAAAAATATATAAGGATAATACATTGGAAAATAATTCTCGAACAAATTATACTCATTTGACGTCATTTGTTTTGTTGGACACTGATGATATGGAAGTTCATGACACAATAATGTCTCTTAAATCTAATAGTGCTCCGGGATGGGATAATATACCATCTAGTTTCTTAAAATTAGCCACTAATGAAGTGACTCCCATCATAACTCATTTGGTTAACCTTTGTTTCAATAAGGGCATTTTTCCTTCTTTACTAAAGCAAGCTATTATCACTCCTGTTTACAAGAGTGGTGCCAGAGACGATGTCAACAATTATAGGCCAATTTCGATTTTGCCCTGTATCTCTAAAATAGTAGAAAAACTAATTAACAAAAGATTAATATATTTTATGAACAAATTTAACATCTTATCTGATTCTCAGTTTGGCTTTAGGCAAGCAAAATCTACAGAGGATGCTGTTACAGCTTTAACTTCATTAATTGTTGAACAACTTGATGTAGGTAACAAAAGTCTTGCTGTCTTTTTAGATCTAAAAAAGGCTTTTGACACCGTCTCTGTCCCCATTCTCGTACAAAAGTTAGAAAATATTGGCATCAGAGGGACCCCTCTTTTACTTCTTAAAGATTATTTATGTAATCGTAAGCAGAAAGTAAAAATAGGACAACTGTTGAGCGAAGATTCATACATAACTTATGGCGTCCCACAAGGCAGTGTTTTGGGCCCGACTTTGTTTCTAATTTATATTAACGATTTGTGTACCTTAAACATAAACGGGGCCAGGATCTTTGCCTATGCTGATGATACGGCTATAGTTTTCAATGGGCCTACGTGGGATACTGTTCATGAAGCTGCAGAAAGAGGACTCCGTGAAGTTGCCTGTTGGCTAAGAGCAAACCTGCTTTCACTTAACACTGAGAAGACAAATTACATTTGCTTTTCAAAAAATATCCGATCACAACCTTCATGTAACTTTACTATTCAAATTCATTCCTGCAAAAGCACTACTTATCAAAACTGTAGCTGTCCTATAATCAACAAAGTAGCCACGACTAAATATCTAGGTATTATGGTTGACCAAAGACTTTCGTGGCACTCACATATTGAGTTAGTTACTTCCAGAGTCAGAAAATTAATATGGATTTTCAGGAATTTAAGATATTCAGCTTCGAAAATACTATTAACTAAAATATATGTCGCATTAGCCCAGTCAGTGTTGTGTTACTGTATCTCAGTGTGGGGTGGAGCCTCTAAAGTTAAATTTCTGGAAGTGGAAAGAGCACAGAGGTCACTACTCAAAGTGATGTTCTTCAAATCATACACATATCCTACTCGTGAATTATACTCAGAAAGCAACATTCTATCCGTTAGACAATTATATATTTTATGGGTTGTTTTAAAAAGACATAAAAATTTGGTTATTGATTCTAACATAGTAGATAAAAGAAGAAATCGTGGTGTTCTTATGCTGCCTAGGATCAAAACAGCTTTCGCTGCACGTCAGTACAAAATTCTGTCAGGACGCTTATATAATAAAATAAACAAAACCATAGAAATCTATCTATTGAGTTATCATCACTGTAAATCAGTCTTAACTAATTGGCTTAAGTCGAATAAATATGAGGATACAGAAATGCTTTTGGAATCAATCTCCTGAATATGAAACACACACACACACACGCACATACATACACTCACACACACACACACACACACACACACACACACACACACACACACACACACACACACACACACACAAACACACACACACACACACACACACACACACACACACACAAACACACACACACAAACACACACACACTATTTTACTAACAAATATTGTAAAACTTAATTTGCTATAACAAGTTACTTTTGATGTGGCTATGGAAGAGCGAGATTGTCTGTCACAGGTGTTTTGTACACTTAAAAGGCGATCTCATCCTTATTTGTAATTTGTAAACATTTTGTTAATGAATAAAATATTTTTATTTTTTTTTATTTTTTTTTACCTAGTTCTCTTTTCCGATTTATCAATATATTCAAATTGAGGGTATAACAAAAGACTTTTTGGTTTAATGATTAAATCAAAATGGGTCAAACAAAATTGACAATATAGAATTCGTTTCGCCTGATTGAACGCGTGATAACATTGTACCTCGACGGTCACAAATTTCTTTTGATAGCGCCTGTGATAATTATATAGCAAATTAGTATATGAATGAATTAGATTTATTTATTAGGCGTTATAAGACACATTTCTCAAATAAATATTATATGGTAAAGTTAATTTTATTTAAGTCCAATACATATAACTTAAAATTGCATAATAATCTTAAAATCTGCAGAAAGTAGTTGAATAAATTATTTTAAATTACAGACGTAAAACCCAATAACATAAGATGTGTATATGATAACCTCTTGACGGTTAACACTGTATTCGTGGTATTCTACTTAATATTTACTTGAGATAAGTACTGGAATGTCATATTTATACGTTTATATAAATTCGTAAATTCGACGAATAACCGATATGAATTTTAATAATAAATATTTACATTACTTAATTAAGCTTACGAGATTTTACTTCCGATATTCTTTATTAGATTATTCTGTATTTGACATTATTCTCGTAACCTAAACTTTGTGAATTTATTTTGAGTTTTGGTTCCCGTCGTTTCGAATGCTTTACAGCAATCATGGTCACGGGAAGAACTTTCCCGTTAGTTAGTAGTTTCCCGTTAGTAGTAGTAAAGATAGTTAGTACTTATAGTCATAAGCTGACTCAAAATGTGTGCAATTTTGTTTTAATATTCTTTCCTCTTAAGAGACTAACTTAATTTCACAGGTTTTGTATAGCGTTAGAAGAAATGGATAGTAAAGATATGCCTGTGGCCCTCGTGTTAGGGTGTGGCGCGCCACAACTTGTGAGGCAACGAGCTGAATACATTACTGCTAGACCGTCACCCATAACGGTTGCTGATAGAGAAACTTTAAGGTAAGTTTATTAGTCAATTACATTCTTATACACTTTACATGTAATGCAAGTTACATTATTATTATTTAACTAGCTATAAAATTCAATTGTAACTGGTAGCCTGAGTTCAAACTCCGGATATGCACCTCTGAGATTTTCATGTGTGAATCATTTTCAACATGATTACCGCTTGTTTTACGGTAAAGGATAACATCTCAAGAAAACCTGCATGTCTGAGAGCACCCTGCAAATTTTCCAAAGATATGTGAAGTTCGCCAGACCACACTTGGTCAGCGTTGTGGACTATGACTTGATCCTCTCTGTACTGAAAGGAGATCTGTGCCCAGCAGTAGGATGTTAAAAAGGGCTAAATGGTGATGATCATTATGATGTTTTTGATGTACTTAATTGTAGCCAATTTAATTTGTAATAACAATCGTCTGTTTGTTTCTGACATACTTTAATCAATTCATAAAATATTTTACGGATTTCAATAGCACTATTTATTAGAGATGTACGGACTAGTCGGGAAAGCCGACTATCCGGCCACATTTATAGTTGGCGACTAGTCAGCCAGAAGCACCTACTAGTCGGTCGATTAGCCGGCCGTTTTCCAACCGGCTAGTCGGCAAAATTCATAGTCGGTCCATCTCTACTATTTATTATTTTGATATTATTATTGACTATACTATAAATTGACAAAAGCTTAGATTTCTTAATCAACATATATTAAAATAATCGGTTAAATAAATGTAAAAAGCAGCTCATGTTTCTCATTCTACGCATTGGCATATAAAGCGGAGATCATATTTAGAAGGCGATATCTAAATAAATAGAACGAAAGTAATGCATATTTGCTTTCATAATAGCAAAATAAACATTTTCACAAATGTTATTAAATCTGCGATATCTTAACTTTCGTGTTATTTATTTGGTTCAATGGAACGTGAGCTAGAGTAAAAAGGTGATATTCATATTAAAGCATTTGTCCTTTTCTTTTAATTTAGAATATAGATTTATTGATTATATGAAAAAAAATTAATAATACTATTAACTAGTACGTGTGTATGTATTCAGTTCTCTTTAATTTAACGTCTCACTGCTGGGCACAGGCCTCCCAATAAAAGAGGGATCAGGCCATAGTACACCACGCTGGCCAAGTGTGGACTTCACATGTCTTTCAAAAACTTTCTAGGGTCTCTCAAACATGCAGGTTATCTCACGATGTTTTGTAAACCATGCTGGAAATGATTCACACATGAAAATATCAAAGGTGCGAAACCCGGGATTTGAACCCGCTTCACGCATCACCACTGGACTACCACTGCCTTATTTAGTATAATTTATATAATTTTAAGCAGTATCATTTCATTCATTTCAGGCCAACTCTGAAAAACGTGTGCTTATAACGATAATAAAGTTAAAATAAATGATTGATAATATTATTTAAGACATAGAATTAACAAATAATACTATTGTTACAGGGTATCCGAAGTTCGATCAAACGTGACAAGCGATGGATTGCTAACGGTTCTTATATCTGTTATGGGAATTTCTAAATCCCAATTTTCCAGAACTCAAAGAGTTTTGACTCCCGAAACACGTTTCCTCCCCTTGTACAATTGTTATATTGTGTTAGCGGTATTATCTAGAGGGTCGTTAGTAGCGCAAAAAGATACACCGTGTCAAGAAACTTTAGAAGTCTCCATGGAAGGCTTTATTAGAGGACCCTACGAAGTTTGCGCGTCGATATCTAAATTTAAAGTCAGTGAAATTCAACCAATATGTGTCGTACCTCAGCTACTGGAGATAGGTTCTTTAGAAATAAAATCGGGTTTTAAAAATTTGAATTCAGCGCTAATTGGGGTTGCTTTAGGTCTGATGATTATAGTGATTGGACTGGTTTGGTTTGTTAGGAAAATGTTGAAGAAGCCATCTGAATTTCAAAGCCATAGGTGTTTCAGGCCTGAGCCGATGCCTGAAGAGAATCTTAGGGCCAGTTATGTTATGTTAACGGCTACTTCTAAGGTATGAATTATGATTTAAACATATACCTAAATATAATAATTTCACTTTAGAGTATGATTTATAAGTGCAGAAATAAAAACCCGATTTCAAAGATATAAACTGGGACTGTAAACTTATAAGGCATATGCTTTTGAAGAAAATTTTTCTTTACATTTATTATGGACTCTATAAGTAGTATATCTTATTCAATATGAAATCGTTATAATCAGTTTGACGACACGTTTGGCTCAATTTGTAGTGATCCTAATTGCTGTGCCAGTGGTCGCGGGTTCGAGTCCCGCTGGGGCATTCATTTGTGTGATGAGCACGAATGTTTGTACTCCAGTCATGGGTGTTTATATTGAATATATATGTATTTAAAGTTATATATGTGTAGTGTATTAACTATCTGGTATCCATAACACAAGCCTCGTAGCTTACCATGGAACTAGATGGTGATGTGTGTTAATGTTCAAACATATTGATTATATTATATAGTTAAATATTGGTATAAATATCGCATAATATATAAAGAAACAGTCGAAGAACTTCCTTTATATGTCAGTAAAATACATTAAATAATAGATTCTTTATTGTCATTATTTTTCTATGATGAAATAACACTTATTATAAGCATGACTTAGTCATTTGTAACATAGTACTTAAAGTAATTTATTGCGTTACACTGTAACATAATTGTTTGTATTTTTATATTATTGGTTTCAAATTATTATGAAATTTTAATTTCATTATTTATTAGTTCCACTAGTCTTTGTGATTTTGAATACTCTATCTAAAATTATGTTAAAAAAGGTATAATCTACTTGTTTTTTGTAAGTGGTATTGTATAGCATTTTGCATATATTATGTATATTTATATATAAATATATATATATATATATATATATATATATATTTATATATAAATTTGCTTGTATTATGTATATTTTGAAAGTTGAGGCATTTATTTTATTTTTGTCATAATAGCTATTTTTTGAAAGAAAAGTACTTAGAATCAACGATGTAGATTTCTTATGAGAAAATATTGATCAACAGTAAAATTTATGGAGTAGGTAATCATTATTTTTTATCGGCGATATAAATTAAATGTCATTCAGTAATGAAGTAAGCTCTCGAAATAGATCGTTCTAGAAATTCAAACATCATACCAACCACACATTCTATAAAAAGTAAGAAAATACAGCTTTGTACAGACCATCTCCATCTTACCTGCTGTGTGTGCTGCTCACACATATTTTATTATTGTGTACAGTTTTGCTTAGTCATTTTTCTATGTCTATATACAACTATCGACTATTTAGACCTTTTAATATTGTAAAACTAAAAAAAAATATCATGTTATGTTCAAATAAATAAATATTAACTGTGGTGCTTGGTTCTCCATAAAAAACAAATTGTACCTCTAAAGGATATTAAGGTTGGAGATATACAAAACTTACAAAATAATAGCAATTATATGGGGCAAAGTGGCAAAACCAAAATGTATTAGTTATATCCGCGGTTCCGGGTTCGTAGCAAGTTAGTCTATAACCTTCCTATAGTTTTTTTTTATTTTTTCAAATTGCCTGGTAGTTTCAAAGGTTAACGCGTACAAACAAACCAACTTTTAAGATTTATTTTTTATATTTATCTTAGTTACTTTATTAATGTTCATAATTTCGTATCAAATTGTAAATATTTAAACAATTTCTTGAACGAATTCATTAGATTTATAAATAAACGTCCAACAACTGATATGAATATTAATTACCTAGCTCATTTAATTGCAAATTATAGTTACTTATAATATATTAAATTAACGCTAGCCCGATTTTGCTGTGTTTTTAACAACCAAATTCTCGATCCCATAATGGCTTTATATGAGATCTCATGGTATGACGAGATCATTCTATAATCTACTTCAATGAGGCAATGAAACTTAGTTGTTATAGCTCAAATAATTAATTATGGAAATATATATATATATATATATATATATATATATATATATATATATATATATATATATATATATATATGTAAGTATGTATGGATGCATCCGAGCGAAGCGAGGGTAAGTCCTAGTCATTTATTCGTGTTTAATGCAGAAATTCAGTGTATTATTTCAACGCTACCATTTATGGATGTAACTATATAGGAAAACAATGGTATTGAGAAAAAGGCTCATCCTTTATTATTTTCCCATTCACAATCAAAATATTATTCATATAAATGATATGGACGCTATTTTAGGTAATTTACGAAAATATTTGATGATTTCTTCTGGAGGTTTTGATATAACAGAATGTTAATAAGGTGTACATAGTTCATTTATAAATATAGTAAATTTGTGAAGTGGTCAATTTGTACGTTGAATGTTTCTAATTGAGATTAGCCGTGGTCAAAATTGGTCATAATAGGTATATATTTCTAATAAAATTACGAGTATATACAAAAACAACACAAACTTAGAAAAACCAATTTTATAGTACATAAATATGTAGCTAAATCATCATTTAAGCTCTTAATGTTACAATTTATCATTCTGTGTATATTTTCAAAAAACTTTATTTAAACGTCTGAAGTATTTTAAAAGCTTATTTTTTTAAAAATCTTATGCTCTAAGATTCATTCTTATTCACATTCCTAATTTTAAAAGCTTTTCAATTAGACCACAGTTGTACAGTAAGTTAATTTTCTATAAGCAAAAACACTTTTCAAGTTTTTGTTTGTCCTGAAAATAAATGCTTACAAAAAGCAAAATATGAAAAGCGGTCGCTTCATAGTTTTAATGGATATTTCTTTTTGTATCACTTAATTTTTAAACATTTAAGGTCTAAACGTTAAGTTTTATTTGAATCAAGTTTCTCATTTCGAATAGATATATAACTTGTCCTCCTCATACATAAACCCATACAAAGCTTACTGCTCGTGGTTGCGAACTAAATAGGATATAGGTACAAGTGAAAAAAAACCCCCAGTAAATTAAGAATTATTTAATTTTGCAGCAATAAGGTTTCTATGCGAAATATGTATATATTTAATATATAATCTATGTATTAATATCATAATATTATATACATAGGTAATATAAATAAAAGCTTACATTTTTTCAACGTTCATTTATCTAATATTTTTAAATAAACTATATTTTCGAATTTTTTGTGGATTAATTTTGATTTCTGGTTCCCAAAGTTTAGAACGCTTTACAGAAAACATGGTCATGCGGGAGACTCACGTTTAGACGTCTTAAAAGTACATATAAGTAAAACATGACACAGTAAAACAAAACAGACAAACTGAAAATACACACATGATTTATTATATCTATTACAAATATAGTAAGAAAACAGGCCTTTTTTTCAGCTAAAATCAAAACATGTCTATATCGTTGCTGAGAAAAAAAAATCTTATATATTTATGTAATATAGTATAAATTATATATAATAAGTTTTACTAATAATTAAAAAAAATTGTGTGTGTGTATATATTATGTACGCACACACGTAAGAAGATATACTTCTTTGGCGTAACAGAACAAAAATAGCTAAAGATTTCATCCCGTATCTCACAACTCTCTGTTCGTAAAAGGAATGATAAATTCATAAAATAATTAAATAAGGCATATTAGGCATATTACAATGATATATGTATTTATAAAATATCATTTAAGGCACGAATATAATATTATATGTATAATATCATTTGTTAGACAATAACAACGGTTACCATGGCAACAAACAAATATCATCTAACTTCATCGTGTCGCTTTTTGGCTGTCGGTATGCGCGCGTCGTAAAAATTTTACTCTCATTTTTTTTTCAAAACGTCCCAAAAGAAGTATAACTTCAAACTGCTTGAATATCATTTTACAAATACAGGATACACTTGTGGTAATGAATTGGTTGATTACTAGTAATAGTAACTGTTTAACACATTATAAAATTTTTTTGTTAGTTATATTATGATTTAAATAACACTTATAATTTCTTCTATGAAGATTTGTTTTAAGTTTAACTAATGTATTAACACGAGGCTTGTAAATAGTTTTAAGTATTAGACATCGTTCCCTATTTATTCGATATAAGTTTTCAAGCTCCGTCCTGTTTGCTAAAAATGTCGATAAAAAAGTTTATGGCTTTCTACATTTAATAATGATGAAAAGGGTTTCACATTAATTCAGTAGTTCCGGAGATTACCCAAACAAAAATGTTAAAGGAAAAGACAAACTGAAAAATCTATTTTTTATTATACTTAAACTGTAGGTAACTAACTGCTGGTAAATAACAGAATTTAAATTAAAACTTTTACTGCTTTTTACTAAGATACTTAATAATTTTCCTTTAGTAATAATATTAGTATAAAAAGATCCAGCAGTCCCTGGCGAGTGTCTGTCCTTTTGTTTATACATATATGTACATACTAGCGACATACCCAAGCTTCGCTCAGGTTCGTCCCTAGGTACGTTTTGAAGCTTATTATGGAATAGATTTTTTTTATTTTTATTTTTCGTGATTTTTTTCTATGTTTTAATAGTTTTCTGCTATTCGGGCGAAGACATACCTATCCAACAAAACAAAGATTATAAAAATCGGTCCAGCAGTTCTCGAGTTACAAGTGTTCTAACAAACCCTACATAGATGTGTGTGCGTATCTCGAAAATTACTAAACAAATTTGGATGGCATTTTTGGTGTTATAATCAAAAACTTTTTGGAAGAAAGCATAAATGAATCTTATAAGATATTAGTGTGCTAAAAATGAACAAGGAGTACGAAATTAGGTTCCGAGTTCGCTAATACTTTAAATATTTCTTTCTTTTTAAAACCGATAACCATAAAACTACTTTAACTTTAAACACAGTTGTAAAGAATCCTTTAAAACGATTTGTTATCGGACACAAAGTCGCGTTTGAAAACCGATCACTTTACTGTGAAACCGTTTAAAGTGACGCTTAGTTATTTTAAATGTTTTAATGTCCTTATTGTAATTTTTACAGCTTCTCTTGTAGTTTTTCCAATTTTAAATTACGTATTTATATTGCAAGGTAGGTGAAGAGTGAGAAGAGCCTGTTTGAATTGGTCACTATGCTCGAGATAACGGGTTTGATTTTCCAATAGGTTTGAAAGTTTTAATTTACCACCATAATTACTAACAAAACCTATTGTTTGAATTAGTAGAAATATAAAGTTTACAGTAAGTCTATAATAATAGTTCGTGCAAATAAAGTGAAATATTTTGAATGGTATATCACTATTATTCAGTTCTAGTTTGAAAATCATCATCTTTACTCACTAGCTCTCTCTTTCTAGCTCTAGCTGGTATAGAGAGCAAAAAAAAAATAATCCTATTATTTATAATATTATTTTAGTCCTATCTCTAATTAGAATGAGGTCATCAAGATCAATTAAATATTATAAATAAAACAGATGTATGCATTGAACAATATTTTTTAATTAAAACAAAACAAAATACGATAGTATTATTCCGACAGTACACGCTCAATGAACCGCCATTTGCTTATATGTTACTAGATGTGCATCGCGGTTTTGCCCGCGTTAAATTTGTTGTGTGACATTAATGATTACTGCTCCGCTCCTTTGGGTAGTAGCATGATGATATATAGTCTATGCCTTCCTCAACAAATGAATTATCTAATTCTAAATTTTTCTGTTCAGAACTTTTCTATTTAGTTCAGTAGTTCCTGAGATTAGTGCGTTCAAACAAACAAACAAACTCTGCCTCTTTATTATATTAAGTATAGATATGTATGTATGTATGAATGTAACTGGGACCTTTATCTGGTAAGCCAAACAATTCTTGCATAGTTTATTATTTTCGGCCATAATCGCAGAGTAAGACGTCACTGCCTAGCTACAATATGTAAAAATGGTGGAAAACGAAAAATAAAATGATGACTCATAAGGACAATAAGATTTATTATTGTTTACATAAACCCATTTATTTGATTCTTTCCTTACAACGTATGTATGTATATTGTTTTATCTTTGAATTTATTTTATCACGTGAATGTTAAACACAGGTTAACGAAAAGGCGTTAAATTGTTCACGATATAGTTCATACTGATTTTACAATATTTGGCTATCTAATTGTATTTGTATGAATTGTATTGAGGAAACCTATATGCTGAGAGGACCTAACAAGTTTTCGAACAACAAACACATGTGAAGTTCGGCAACTCGCACTTAGCCAGGTGGACTATGGCCCGATATCACTTGTATTGAATGTTAAAAAGGGCTAAATGAGAAAGATTATGTATAGAGGATGATGTCTAATACTATTGCTTATTTATAATATTTAGTGTAACCATGTACTATTTTAGTGTCGAATATAAACGTTTTTACAAGTGTTTTAACGTTATTTGTAATTATTGTAATATTTTTATGCATTTTGTAAATTGAAGAACTTTGGTTCCGCTTTAATTAGTGAATAATTATTGTAAATAATAATTTATAGATTGCAGTTTTTGTTCTTAATAAAAAATTAACGAATAAATTTTGTTTTATTTATCTGTATTAATAAATGGAGAGCCGATTTTTTTGTTCGGTTATACTGCGATAACTACTGAACCGATCGGAATAATACTCATACCACAAGATGTAGCGTGTTTCGGAGAAGGTTTTAGCGTATGATATGTTGGTAATTACTGCTCGCATAGTATGATACTATGCGGGCGGAGCCGCAGGAAAACGTTAGTTTATAAATAAAATAAAGGATATGTTATAATGAAGCTAGTAAGAGAAATCAGCGATTTATTTTTTATTTCTGTGTTGCGGCTTTGGAGTATCATCACGACCATATCTGGCCTATTGTGATCACCGCATAATTAATTCACCCATTCAACCCACTAAACCCTGCCCCTGTGATGAACTAGAGGATTTGTTTAGGGGTTTACTTAATTCCATCTGTGCCTAGAAACTCCTTCCCAAGACGAAAATTGCGCTTGTTTATAAGAGGTCCACACTCCCTCAGAAGATGGAGTGGCGTTTCAACTGCCTCTATACATTTTCTGCAGGTTTGTGTGTCACTTAGCCTTAGGTTAAACATGTGTTTATTTAAGCCACAATGTCTTATAAAACCCCTTACTACTATCAAACTAGTAATAGTAGTAAGAAATCAACGATATCATCAGCTGAAATCTTTGAAAATGTTAGCTTTTATATTTGCGTCAAAAGGATTCCTAACTAACTTTCTAACAAAATATGATTACAAAACTAGCACATAATATTTTTAATATGTTAGAAGCAAACTTTCATATTAATGCTACAACACGTTTAAGTATGTAAAACCTAAAGCCACAGTCATAAAATCGTGGAAAATAGCTTAATAACATAAATTTTGCTTTAGCAGTAAATCCTATTAAATTCTCTTTCAAAGCTACTAACTTTAAATTAGCACTATAAGATATTCATTAAATAAATCATAAAAATTAATTCACAAAATTGCAAAAAATATATATACGCACAAATAAAGAAAAACACACTCAAAATGAGCACATATATGTATGTATGTATTTTGAAGTTTATGGAAATCCAGGACTAAACCAGGAACAGATAAAGATAAACTTATAGATAAAGATATTTAAGAAAACTATTATTGGGGATCTTTATTGATGTAATAGAACCCAAAATAATTATTTTTAGAAATTTTATCTGTCTGTCTGTGCGTTTGTACGCGCTAATCTGAGAAACGACTGAATCGATGTGGCTGCGATTTTTACTAATGTATTATGGTACGCTTCACTTAACTTTTAGTATGTGTTTTATTTCAATCGGTTCATAAACAAAAAGGTTATGCCAATTTAAAGAATCACATGAAACATTTATTGGAAAACGATGATGACTGAAAGTTTATAGGAACACACAAAGTTTAAAAATAGATAGTTTCGGTAAATTTAGAAGCTTCCAATGTAGGTTGAGCTTGAGGTATGGTTAAGCATATTAAATAGCGTTCAGCTTAGACTGGGCGCGTTTCAGTCGGACGCCCGCGTTGGCGCACCTTTTTTTTTAACGTTGGGAAATTCATTTACGCACGACGTGTGGGACTCACCGGCAAAGCCAGTACTACCCACTAAAGCCCAACAAAACCTTCCCCCGTCTTAATGGGACGTCGCAGGATCGCTTACGCATTTAACTACAACGCCCCGACGCGGACGGCAGGTCTGCCGAAACAGACCACAACAACCATGGGGTTGCTTCAAGGTGCACCTCCACTCTGCTATCAGAGAAGTACCAGGAGCAACCCGCATGGTACACAGCCCACCGAAGGGGGCCACCTCCCACCGCCCACCGAAGTGGGCCACCTCCCTGTGCGTTTCTTGGCTACGCGCCGGCTGAAATGCCGGGCACTACTGAGCCCCCCCACCACGACAAGGTGAACGCACGTTGGGGGGGATTCATAACACAAGCCTCCTAGCTTACCATGGAACTAGATGGTGCAGCTTCCCAGCATATTATATTTGAATTTTGTATCATTTATTGTTAAAGTGAAGGAAAAATGAAACATCGTACGTTTTAAGAAATTTAAACACTAAAGGATGACTTGTTTCTGTTTTATATTACAGAAAGCATTGTACGAATAAACAGTTATTCGGGTCAAGGCATATTATGCAAATTTTTGGCATTTACAATGTCAAGGTCAATGGATATGACATACCTGTTTGTAAAACTGAATATTATTTGTCTAACAACATTCATGAAAGCATTTTCGTTTAAATAAACCTTTGCATAAAGGTGTGTTATATTGTAGTTTATATAATATAATATTGCGAAATATACATTTACAAAGCAGTTGTAGTCCAGTGGTATAAGTGAAGTGGTGGTGAAGCGGGTTCAATTCCAGGGTCGCACCTCTGATAGTTTCGTGTATGAATCATTTCCCTCTTGATTACCACTTATCTAACGGTAAAGGAAAAGATCGTATAGAATCATGTATGTCTGAGAGAACCTAGCAAGTGAAGTCCGTCAACCCGCACCTGGCCAGCGTGGTGGACTATGGCCTGATCCCTCTCGTATTGAAGGAATCCCGTGCCCAGCTGATGTTGATGTTTTGGCTTTAGCTTTTACACATATAACTTATATTATATTATTGGTTTTATTTTAGTGGAATATTATTATAGAAACAAATATACAAAGCAGTTTCTTGAACTCTAGGGCACAACCAAATGGATTTTCCCAATACAATAGATATTATTATATAGGTGCGCCCGCGCATTTAAATATATAGATCAGAATAATAATTATCTTCAGTTGTTAACAAATCGTCATGGCGGATAGACGCGCTGTAATTTTAGTAGTTTTCCTTATATTTTTTTCATTTTGTCATTGCAAAGTGTTCACGCGATGCCAGTTGACACGGGAGCTGTTAAAAAATAGTTTCCCAAAGACTTTCCTTAGCAACTGTGAGTTATATTGTTTTATATGTGTTATATGTGGTGTTTGTGGCTCTATTGTATTGAAAGTGTCGTATTAGTACCTATGCATGAATGTTGAACACATATTGTTTATTATTGCGTCGGTAAAAACCTTATGGGATTTTTAGCCTTTACAGTTTTAATGAGATAGATTATTTTGTTTTGTTGTTTATTATTACATAACTTGCTAACCTTAAAGACTTTGTACTGTCCATACTTTAATTTTGTTTTTAATCGTTGAATTTATATAAAAAAACACTTAATATTACCGAATTTTTAAATTTTCAAATTTTGTAATATTTTCCCTAGAAAGCCCTATTCAGACTATTACGAACATATAAAATACGTAAATCGATCTTGCTGTTCACAAGTTATGCGCTTACCGACCAACAGCTGTTCTTTTCTATTTAGGTATACTATAGATATACAGTTTTAAAACACATATATTATCAAAATATTATTATTTTGTACGTAAAATATTGTCAAGTAGACTCTTTAATAGCGCGACCTGATTAGGTAAGCAGAATCATTTAATTACATAAACTGTTTGGTGACCCTATTAAGATTGTATAACGTTAAAGGAAATTTTCTTAGATTTATAATAGACCAACGATCCACCCACGCTTCGCTCGGATTCGTCCCTAGGTATGTTTTAATGGTTAATATGGAATAGATAAACTATATTATAAGTACATAGGTACGATAAGTTGGTGAGGGTTGTATTATAGCGTGTTTTATAATCCCGTGGAAATGACATAATCTCCCGCGGTAAAAAGTAGCCACTGTCACTCTCCAGTCCTCCAAAAATATGCCAATCGGTCACTTTGTTTCGACGTGAAAGAAGGACAAACAAACAAACACACTTTACATTTATAATGTTAGTATGGATTTACTTTTACTAAATAGCCTATTCATTTTCGTATAAGAAAGAGAAGTTAAAGTGAAATTATGTCACTCAGAAATGAAAAATATGATCTACTTAATTATTCTGCAAGACTGAGTTTTGCGTTGAATACGGGTTCGATTCTAACGACATAATATGTCTGTTTTGTTATTAGTACAGTCCTTGTACTGCAGAATTTTATAATTTCCTGATACATGTTACAGATTATTCTAATATATTTTATTACCAATCGTGGATATAGGAGAAATATTAATAAAGTTGTAGTTAATTACCATTGCCCGTGGCTCCGCTAGCGATCAGATGGAAAAAAACCTAAATTAGGTTTTACATATTGGTATACTAAGAGTAACTGCAATGTAAGAGTATACTCTTACATTGCAGTTTTTGTATTTTTTCTTGGAAATGAGACCTTTTCCCGCGGTAAAAAGTATCCTATATGTTGTCTCGGATAACCAGCTACCACCATACCAAATTTCATCAAAATCCCTCCAGTGTTTTTTCTGTGATGTGGTAACAGACAGGCAGACAAAAATTCTAAAAACTGTAGATTATCGATAATAATGTTTATTTCAATAAGATTTTTCAAAAAATATTAAATTAACAAATTCGGCTTAGTTACAATTTTATTATATGTATAGATTATCAATCAGTCTATATTTATCTTCTAATACGAAAGAAGATTATACCTATATGAATAACAACGTATATTTAACTCAGCCCAATTAAATACAATGAATAGATACTTTGCGCGAAAGTAATTCTATAGCAATTCGAGTATGGAAGTAACCTGTTGACATTTCCGCATTTAAATTAGTACTTGCATTTCGTGGGTACGAGTAGAACTGCGGAATATAAAATTGATGTTTTTTATATTTTTAAACAGTTTTTAAGAATTTAGTTAAAGTTAAAAGCGGTTTGCTAGAAGTCGATTATAGCAATTTTTACAATGTTTTTGAAGAAAGGTAAGAACATAGTTTTAAGACTTTAATATGACGACGTTTGGCTCAGTTTGTTGTGATTCTACCTGCTGTGCCAGGATGCAGGTCGCGGGTTTGAGTTCAGCTGGGGGCATTCATTTGTGTGAGGAGCACGAATGTTTCTACTCCAGTCATGGGTGTTTATATATTCATAATATGTATGTATTTAAAGTTATTATACGTGTAGTGTATCAACTATCTGGTATCCATAACACGAGCCTCGTAGCTTACCATGGAATTAGATGGTGCTGTGTGTTAATATCCTAACATATTTATTTATTTGTTCATTTATTTATCTTCGCTCATACAGTGCGAGGAGAGCCGCGGGCACAATAAGTTTTATCAAACTTTTGTTAATAATTTTATCAATATTTTTATTTTATAGAGTAACCCTGCATTTCTTTAAAGTAACGGATTTTTATTTATATCCTTTGTAATTAAATTAATGAGTGCCGATTCCCCTCAGGTTTTCTAAAACTAACACTCTTAAGTTTGATCTCAAGATATTTGTATCAAACTTAAGAGTGTTAGTTGAGTGTAGATGTTTCACTTCTTATAAAAGTGGTATTTAACTGCACATTAATTATATTTTTTCTTTTGAAGAAACAGAATATAACATTTTGAAGAATTTGCTAATTTGATGCTTTTATAATTTGTTAGCCGCTTATCAATTATAGTATCAAAGCAAATATTTTTTAGTATACACTAAGGTTAAGTATACTTCAAAGTGTCTAAAATTTTGAGCAATATTTGCATGATACAAGTAACATGTTGGATTAACACAAAAGTAAACATGTCAAGTGAGTCAAATATATGTTTACATTTTTTTAAGTAAAGATTATAATATCATGATAACGGTAATAGTTCAAAAAAATTAATAAAATTACATCTGTTCGCTCAGATCCAAAGATCAGTTGGTAGCATTAAGAAAGAATTGAACTGAGGCACTGTCATCATAGTGGAAGCTCTACAGGACTTTGTAGGGATGCTGAGCTTCCTAGGCAATTCTCCAAGACAGATGTTTTAGGGAAGGTTAAGGAGGGTTGACGTCAGGCAAGCGGCCGGTCGTAAAACTTTTGCCAAATTCTTTTAGCAGTACAGAAGATGTACTGCGCCGACCCCAAGTGATTGGGAAAGGGGCAGGGAGAAGAAGAAGAAGAAGATGCTTTAGGGATAAATCTTGACAAGATCAAAGTAATGTAATATATTGGTCAAAAACTACAATTTGTTCCTAACAATTTTAAAATTAAGAAGAATAACTGATAGAGAAATACGCTCAGACTTAGCGGCATTAGGGAAGATATCCTATATTTTTTAGTCATTGAAATTATAGTATCTTAGAAAATGCTGGAACCAGTGTGTACTACCCGTAATGACTTATGGGGCTGAAACGTAGGCACAATAGCGTTAGTTCACGAATTAAAGGTTTAAAAGGTGCTTGGAGCTTTTCTGGCAGCTAGAAATTGAATAGTGTCACCGATAGCATACGCAGGAGTAGCATGCTGAAGTGGATGTGACTCGACTTGAACACTATTTCTAGATATAGCTACTGATGTACAATTAAGGTATCAAGTGTTAGAATGAAGACTGCATTTAGACAACGGAGTGTAAGGCCCCTTGCAGTATTTGTCTTGTCTTGCAGCAGTCTGATCATTTAAGAAATACAAGTGGTAAGTGAATGGATCCAGGTTGCTCAAGAATGTATAAGCGAGATTTATTAAATAGGCCTTCATAATATAATAAACGGTGAAAAAAGAAAATTAGAAATTCCTAACTCTCCACCTGGCTTTAGATGAAATATTTTCTGTTAAAATTCACTTTTATTCATTTCAGATTGAAATTAAGTTAGACGTAAATGATAATCACAGACATGTAGGGTTTGATTACTTAGTTAATACTTGAAGAGTTTTATGTAATCAAAATAATCCATACTAATATTATAAATGTGTGATGGATGTTTGTTACTCTTTCACGCCAGAACCGCTAAATGAATCTTGATGAACTTTGGCACAGATATAGATTATAGTCTGGAATACTACAAAGGTTACTTTTCATCCCGGGAAAAATGTACGGTTCCCGTGGGATAAATTAGTTTTTGTCTACCAGCGAACCCGAAGCGAAGCGAGGGTGAGTCGGTAGTATATTATAAGTATTTTAATAACCTATAACTAGAGTTATATTGTAATAAAAGATAAGAAATATAATCACGTCTACTAATTAATGTTCACAGTTCATTAAGTTAATGTAATAAGTGTTATTTAATTAAAGAAAACATTAATTTATTAGTTGAATTATTTACATATAATTAGATAAAATAAAACTCTTTGTATTATCATTAAAGTGCAAAACAGTGTTAGGACTTTATATTATATCAAAAAAAAAAGTCTCTCAGAGGAGAAAAATGTACTTTAATTTTAAAATCACTTCAAAAATGCACATTAATTATTTTATTCATAGTGGTCGATTGAATCTTAAAGTTTATGTTGATATCCTTTAAGTATTTGGAGTTAAAGCATAAATTATTATATATCTAGTCATACATCGACTTTTTATGTCATCTTTTGAACTGGCGAAGCATCTTAATTAGAAATTCATCGTATAAAAACATTTCCGAACACAGATTTTATATTTTTTTATTTTTATCTAATCTTTCTAGTAAAATTACTAGTGGAAGATCGTTTTTGAAATAAAAAATTTACGGTTAATCTATAAAAACAAACCAGCAAATACTGTATAGCTCGTTAGGCACGTTTTCATGCTTACGTTGAACATGGTGTAGATAGAACATATACATACTACATATTGGTTCTTAATACAAATTTTAGCACTTTTTAACTTCTAGGGGTGTGCTTAGTAGAGCAAGAAAGCGACAGGAACACATCAACACATATTGTCAAGACGCCACGAAAACAGTATTATGGATTATTTCAAGTAAGATTATGATAGACATTCTACGGTTCAGATCGTGTACAGTCTATGTATGTAAATATATATATATATATATTGAGGTGTGCCAAAAAATGACGGTATTTTTTTTTTCTTCGCTCTCACCCCAAAATATCTCAGAAAATATCCCAATGTCCCAAAAAATTCCAATTCTAAGAGGTTCTCCATCGAATTTTAAGTTTTCCCATACAAATAACATGGAAAATATGATTTTTATCATTATTATTATAATAATAATTTTTTGTCCTGCAAACTGTGACGTAAATATTTTTCAAAAAAATGAATGAATGGATCGTTTTTAATATTAAATTTACTACAAAAAGTTCCATTGAGTCGAATTTCTATCTTCAATATTATTGATTTGTTATATAGCTTTGAAGTTCAAATTTACGGTTTATTGCATTTTTTAGCTAAACTTTAAGAGTTTGAAAAAATGTTTAGTGGCAAATTTATAGTACGCTTAAAATCCTGTAAAAAAGTATGTGTCAACTTTTTCATATCATCAATAACAACAAAGTTACAGGCTCACGAATATTTATTTTTAAAAATTTTTGCTTTTACGAACTGAAATTATTTTAAAATTATTATAAAATTATTAATAATAAATATATATTTTTATACATAATCATTATTATAAAAATATAAATATAATATTTATAAAAGAAATATTAGTAATAAATTTGACTCTTACTTCCGTGACACACTTCCACTATACTCTGTATTGACTTAACCGTCAGTCACGCCTAAAGGAGTTTTACTTCAAAAATATCATTAACATTTATCTAGTTTCTGTCTAAGGATTTGCTTGGGTAATGGGCACGTACTTTTAATGTACACAAAATATAGAGCTCATGATTTAAAGCTATACAATAAAATAAACCCATTTTGTATGTATGAAATATATTATAATATGAAAATTCTACATTTTAAAGCACTTAGAACTTATTTCGTTCAAAGTAGTTTATAAAATGTAAAACTATCTGATCTAATCGAAAATATTTTCATTCCAGATAGGAAGTGAATGGTGTAAAGAAGGTCGTAAAGGCGGTAAATGTAACGTTTCGTGTGAAGGTAAGCGATTCTTTTACAGTTTAAATTGTTTCATAAACAATAAATAAAAACAATAAGTAGCAGTGGTAGCCCAGTAGTAACGCACTTGCTTGGGAAACCGAGAGAAGCGGGTTCGAATCCCGGGTCTCACACCTCTGATATTTTCATGTGCGAATCATTGCCAACATGATCACCGCTTGTCTTATGGTGAAGGAAAACATCGTGAGGAAATATGCATATCTAAGAGAACCTATAAGTTTTCGAAAGACATGTGAAGTCCCCCAATCCGCATTTGGCCAGCGTGGTGGACTATGGCCTAATCCGGCACTTAGTTACAATTTTATTACATGTATAGATATTTATCTATCATCCACACATATGCAATGAAGGCACTTGCATTGTTAACTGTTTGGGATTTATTATATTTATAGATATTTAAAAAAAAAAATTTTTTGTAGCTTAGGCTTTTGACTGTTTCTAGTTTTTATTACTATTTTATTACTATCACCTATTTATACTGTTTTTATAATAAACTATAAAACAATCCGAAATAAAGCACTATGTACGGTTTGTAAATACTTTTAATAATTATTATGGTTGGCGCCTCTATTGTTATTTATTCTTTTGTATGTGTTAACATCTTTATCCCTAAAACTACAAATTGGATTTGAAAAAATCTTTTATGCGTCCAGTACACTACTCGCAAAGTTCTCCGAAGTTCGTCGTATATTACTGCTAAAATCAGCCTTGTTTTTCAATTCTATGACTTAAAAAATCAATGTACAGTGACTTCGGCTAACTTCGAACGAGAGTGAAGAGGTAGTATTATAAGATTATTTATTGAAAAAGATTATATATCACGCAATGATTCTTAAAACTTAAAAGCTGGTTATTAAATAAATTATTTAATTTTAACATTTTTGAGTAAAACATGTTCATACTAAATGAATAATTACAGCTCTCCTGGATGAAGATATAAAAGATGATTGCGCGTGCGCTTCACAAATATTTGAAACAGAAGGATTCAAATATTGGTCTAAGTGGGAAGCTCGGTGTAAGGGACAGTCACCAGACAGGCTACCTGACGTACAGAAGTGAGTGTTAATTTTCGGAGTTATTTTTAAAAGAACGTAAATTTTAAATAAAACTATCTTTTCGGATTTTTTCGAAAGAAAGAAAGAAAATCCGAAAAGATAGTTTTATTTAAAATGTCAAGTATTCGCGTAAATCTAAGAAAGTATTATGAGAACGTGAATTTAATCGAATGAAATTTTCGTATCTTCATTGAAATAAATATACTTATTATTTTTGAAATAATATTATTATTGAAATAAATATATAAATATATTATACTATTGCCTAATTTCTGATTAGTTACAGAGAAATTATATTTTTTAAGTCAAAGATCACGTCTAAACTATTCAAGTTGTAATATTACAGCCTTTTGCAAAATAAAGCACAGTGATGTCTAAAACTATTTTATTATAAATATGTCAATCTGCTGCTGTTGCCGATTTTAAACAAGTATAAAATTATAGTATTATACTAAAATAAAACTTAGACCAAAGAATTATATAGCTTTCTATAAGGAAGTCTATAAAGAAATAAGCCCACCAAAAAAATGGCAAAGTCAAATTATAGGTGATTTTGCTGTTTATGCTACTATTGTCGATTTTTTAGAGAATAGGAAGATTTATTTAATCATAAATATTATATTAAAATTCTGAGTCGAATCTGTATATTAAATATCTTTTGGAAAATCTTATTGAAATAGTCATTATTATTGAAACAGAGGCCGAATCTATAGTGTTTAGAATTTTTGTCTGTCTGTCGGTCTGTCTGAGATCGCATCACGAGAAAACCACTAGACAGATTTTGATCAAATTTGTTATAATGATAGCTGGTCATCCGGGTCAACATATAGCATACTTTTTACTGCGGTAAAATATCTCGTCTCTGAGAAATCTATACTAAACCTTAAAAGTAACTAGGGATAACCCGTGCGGAGCGTGGGTGAGTCGCAAGTCAAAATAAAATTAATACTATATTCTTTTGTATTTTTTAAGCATTAGTTCTCTTCCCTTAGAAAGAGAGATAGCATATTCGCTTATTACTATTTTTTTTGTATTAAAATAATATGTATTGTAACATCCGTCAGATAACTTTATCTATTAACATTTATTTACATAGTTATCACAGTGATAAGTTTTCTATTAATATTTGTACTATTATACTGTTTTAATTACATAATTGTTTGGTTTCATTTTTATTTCTATGACACTTTATCTATATTATTCCTTGGAGAGAATAAAAAAACTTTTTTTACAGGTGTCCAGATTGGCAGTACCCCACGAGAGCGTCACCCGATAGGTTTAGGCGGACTACAAGGCAAAGACGATCCAGTTTGAGATTTTTCATTGAACCATATCATGTTTTTCTAAGAAAAAGACACAATGAAGTCAAACCCTAAAAATCTAAAGGCCCAAGTTACATATTGTTAAGTTTTTATTTAGGTAATAAATTTTATAAGTAAACGCTTTTTTATTAACTTTTTTATAATTTATGTTTCCTATAATAATTTTTTATTACCTGTTATAATCTGTAAGTACTGTAAGTATGTATTGTAGTAAGGCAGTAGTAGCCTAGGAGTAATGCGCTTTCTTGGGAAACTAGATGAAGCGGGTTCAAATCCCAGGTCAAGGTCAAAATAGACATTAAAGTTCTATACACACACACTCAGTAGACTTCAGTATTATATATTATACTGCGAATATTAATCACTTCAAACCGACGAGAAAGGTGAGGAGGAGCAGGTCAATATATACTTCGAAGTTGTTCTGATGTGCGTGTACCTACGTGTGCGAGTGTGTGTCAAATTTGTAGCGATTGTTAATTGTCTTTTTGGATCTTTTCGCGGATTTATTTTGTTAATTGGTTCTCGATGCTTCGAATGCTTTACAGCAATCATGGTCACGGGAGAGACTGAGGTATTAGACGTATTAAAGGTCTCATTATATTATAGTTGTTGTTGTTTGTACTGTCTGTAACAACCAACCAAATCTGGGAACCAAAAATCAAAATAAATTCTTGTAAAACCCGATAAGGTAGTTTTGTTTAAAATTTAAGTAAGTAGAATCATACTTATTTAATAGATAGTAGTTTAAAAGATATGAAGTATTTCATATAAACAAAAAAACCATCCTTAAAAGTGTAGTAATTTATTTTTAAGCTTTTAATTAACTCAAACGTTTATAATTCCTAATATTCGCTTTAAATCAGTATAAAACAGTATAAAGAAAACGATAGAAGTTTTGAATATCTTATTGTTCATCACATCTTGTTATGATTTATCTATATACGTACCTTATGTATATGTATATACGAATCCTCAAATCAATGAAATTATCTAAGGCTGGTGTAAAATTAATTAAAATCATTCATACAGATAATTAAATATTATAATTACATCTATAACAGAACTTTGCTAGTGATTTGCTTCAAAGCGACGTCTTTATTAAACCAGTAAACTACATGTTTTTAAACTCCATTGTAAATTTCTCAACGCTTATTGAAAAATTCCTTTTAAATTTTCTTTTTTATGTTTTAGGAAAAAATTGAAGAAAGAAAGTAATCTTAATGTTATTAATCTATTTTGCGAGTGATAAAATTATGGTCTATACTAATATTATAAATATGAAAGTTTGTGAGTATGTATGGATGTTTGTTACTCTTTCACGCCAGAACGACAAAACGAATTTGGATGAAATTGGGCACAGAGATAGATTATAGTCTGGAATAACACATAGGCCACTTTTAATCCCGGAAAAATATACAGTTCCCGAGGGATAGATTATATAATATTTCTTCGTCTAAGTTTAGCTTTAAAGATACATACTTCAATATTATAATTTTTTATTCTAACAATACACATTTTCTTTCTTATTTTGGTACATTACAAAAATACTTTCAAAGATTTTATATGCTCTACATTATATGTATATTACGTTTCGCCTAGTGGTCGAAACTTGACTACATTACCGAAAATTTGAGGAAAAATTGAGAAAAACATATACGAATTGAATTAACTTATCTATATAAAGATTACGCAGTGAAGATAAAAACTATCCCATGTCTTTCCCAGGGTCTCAATTTATCTTCTTACCAAATCCATCTAAATCGATCAAGTAATTTTTGAGGTAGTTAATAGTAAAAGGTGATACAAATCTTTCTTCTTTTTAATAGTAGTGTAGATATTTAATATAATTGACTAAAAATATTGATATCAAATTTTTGCTTGTAGGAAAACATGCTTTGCGTTGTGAACCGCGTTACAAGGTACATTGACTTAGATAGTCGAATGAAAATTAATATGATGTCGTTAGTCATTGTTATAAATAAAATAAATATGTTGGGACATTAATATACAGCACCATCTAGTTCCATGGTAAGTTACGAGGCTTGTGTTATGGATACCAGATAGCTGATACACTACATACACATATATAACTTTAAATCCATACATATTATAAATATGACTGGAGTACATTCATTCGTGCTCATCACACAAATGAATGCACCCAGCGGGACTCGAACCCGCGGCCGCTGGCATAGCAAGTAGGATGGATCACTATAACAAACTGAACCAAACGTGTCGTCAAAGTCGTCTTTATGTTTTTATGTTAAAATATAATAGTTTTACTTAAATATATATAATCTGAATCTCGGAAATGGCTCCAACGATTTTCATGAAATTTAGTATACAGGGGGTTTCAGGGGCGATAAATCGAACTAGATTAGTCTGTTGTCTGAGAAAACGCGTATTTTTGAGTTTTCATGCAGTTTTCTTTTGCATTATTCCGCAAACTATGGTCGGTAATTTGCACGCTCTGGTGTAAGCATCGTGGTCAAGGTGCAAGGTCAACCACCACAGATGTCCAGGTTCGAAAAAGGTTTTGTTTTTTTTAATATTTATTCAACTTTTTAATTTAAAAAATGTAAAATTGTACCTTAGACCAAAAACTCCGAGCAAAGCTCGGTAGCCCTGGTACTTTATTATGAATTTTTAAATATGATAGCGTTGAGATTCTCGATGTATATTATTTTGTATTTTATACAGAGGAGCGGCACATCCTATGGAAGATTTGGTTTCTACCCTCACTCATACTCAGTATGCACGATACTTCGATAATTACATTAGATAGACAGTGGATACTGCTAATTTAGTAGTCAGAGAAGATATTTGAAATAAATAACGTTGCTTTAATTTTTTAAAGGTAATTCCAATATTTTTTTAGGTTTGAGTTTCATGATCGGCTTGATTCTGATAAAATTTGTAATCTAGATATAATCAAATTCTGATTCGAATCTGTGCTTTAGATATTTTTTGGAAAATCTTATTGAACTAGCTAGTTCAATATAAGTACAATATTTTTTTTTATAATTTAGTTCATAATATATACTAAGTCGAACACAAATGTAAATGAAAACCTATTTTATAAGAATTTCTTTGAGAACACGAATAGTTTCGTCATAGTTTATATACTTAAAATATTTTTTTGACTATCACGTGATGCAAAAATATTATTTTTGTTTGGGATGGACATACCTTCGTTTGAAGTTATACAAGAAAAATAAGCTATAAAAACGTAATAAAATAATAAAAATTGTGAGTTTTTATTAATATTATAATTTTAATTGTAGTTTGGGAAATGCTTTTGCAATATAGCGTACACGTTATAGCTGTTTTATGTAAAAACATGCAATTTTTTACCTTACCAATAACCTAGCCCGTAAAGTAATTTAGTTTCCTTCTAATATATCTATAACCTACATTAGACTAAATTTAAGAAAATAGAAAATTGAATTTATATACATATAATAAAATTGTAACTAAGCCGAATCTGTACATTAAATATTTTTTGGTAAATCTTATTGAAATAAATATTATTATCGATACAGAGGCTGAATCTATAGTTTTTAGAAGTTTTGTCTGTCAGTCTGTCTGGCTGTTTGAATGCCTGGCTGTCTGTCTGTCTGTTTGTTACCGCATCACAGAAAAACTACTAGAGGGATTTTAATTTTTGGTATGGTGATAGCTGGTTATCCGGGTCAACATATTATAGGATACTTTTTACCGCGGGAAAATATCTCATTTTTGAGAAAAAATACAAAAACTGCAATGTAAGAATATACTAATATGTATGTCTGAACGCGGGCGGAGCCGCGGGCAAGGCTAGCTGAAAAAAAGGTTGTACGTAAACGTCTTAAAGAGACAGAATATTTTCCTTAAAGAAACAAATTAACGAGAGCACATTTATCTGTGCAAATAGCATTTTGTATTATATTTAATTTTCGGAAGAACCATTAAATCTTGCAAAATTTAGATGTAGGTGAAATCATGCGAGGTCACGTCCGTAAAGTACGGTCTGTTTAATAAAATGTATTATGATTTGGGTCTCGTTTACTAAATATCGTAGCAAGAGCTTATTGATTGATTAATTTATTGTATTTATAGCAAATATTACGATAATGTTAATTGTGGTTCTGTCTTCAGATAGGTTGCTTGAATTAATTTTAGAAATGTATTGAATTGTAGAAATGGTGTATAAATGATATGATAAACCATAGGCTATAACCTGATCAATTCGTATTGATAGGGGGCCATGCCCAGCAGTAGGATGCAACAAAAGGGCTAAACAGATAGAATAGCTAGCTATTCTGACCTAGGTCACAAATGAACATCGAATCCAGCGCTTTCAACAGTCATGTACAGAAATACTATATTGTTATCACGACATCGTTTAAACTATTTATTTATCTAATACTAGTGACTTACCCTCGCTTTGCTCGGGTTCGTCCCTACTTTGATTCCCCATGTAAAATTTCATCTCCATTTTCACAATCTTAAGGGATGATTTCCGGGATAAAAAGTGTCCTATGTCCTGCTCATATTATCAAACTATCATTTTACCAAATTTCATCTAAATCGGCTTAGTAGATCCAGAGACTACCCCCTACAAGGTCACATACTTACAAAATTTACCTCTTTATAATATTAGTACAGAAAAACTAGATATAGCAATCTTAATCATGTCGTGTAAACGACGCACAGTCTTTGATACTTATTTATTCAGTAATCCCTTACGTAGCTTTCAGTTCGCTGTTTCATGGTTATACTGTTAATTGTAATTTGTTTTACTGCTAATAATAATTTTGGGCTTATTGTATGCTAAATGTAATATATTTAAAAAAAATATATTTGAAGTTTTCTATGAAAATAAAAAATAATTTCCTTCTGACTGATTTCTACCGATTATAATGCACAATTGCATACATGAATACAAGTGCTTTCTAAATTATAGTGAAAGAAAGAAAGTCTTATCTCTCTAATAGTCCAGTCAAATAAGGTCTCAAATCAAAATTTGGCACTCAACTTTGCATATTTGATATAATGTAGTTTTATGATGC